CTTACAATGCCTGCCAGAAAACTGGGAATTGCCCATCCAAAAAGAGCACATTCTTGATTTGATACCTGTTCCCATGGGCTCTGAGTCATCCCAGGACTTACTGCACCTTCAGACAGCAGTGAGCCCAAGCTCTGAGTTGTTGGAAAAAGGCTTTCCCAATAAGCCAAGGATAAGAGAAACTAAATTCTCTGGCTGTCCCTACCTGACAGCACAGACGAGATTTGCTCAACATTCTAAGCTGTGCTTGGCAAGGAGAGATTTGGCACTTCAGCCTGAGCACTCTGACTGCCCAGCAGGACCTGGTGGGTGAGTGCTGAGAGTCACAGTCCAATTTCTAGAGGGTGGTTTGAAGCCCTTTTACCAAATTAGAGCCCAAATAACACAGGCACACAAGGAGCCTCTTGCCACTCCTTGTGCCCTTGTCCATCCCCCTCGTGGGCCACAGTTGCCCACAGAGGTGTGAGCCTGGGGCACTGTGGGATTGTCTCATTTCAGAAACACTGCGACAGGCAGAAAGCAAACCTGAGGATCCGCTTCAAGCCCTCCCTGTTCCAGCACGTGGGAACCCACTCCTCCTTGGCTGGGAAGATACAGAAGCTGAAGGTGAGTACCAGCTGCCTGCTTTAAACATCAACAACATGCAGCTTCCCACAACTGCGTGTGCAGGGCCCACAGACACATCCCTGGACTGCACTCATCCTGTGTCTGTGTGATCCCCAAGGGAAATAAATGGATGGTGTAATCCAGTTTGTGTCACAGTGCAGTGCCTGTCAGGCCATGTAATCCAGTCATTTTATGCTATCATTAGCCTCCCAGCCACCTTCTCCTCGGGTGTAAGGACTGTTCCCAGAGCTCCTGGGGCAGGGACATGTTCAAGGACACTTGGACGATGAAAGGCTCTTTGGTGCTGGATCAGAGTGCCAAGCAGAGGTGCTTCTTTGTGCTGCCTCTCCTGAAGCTGTGTCCAGTCACATGTTCCCCTGGTGCCTTTCCCAGATTGCTTCCATCCCTCATCCTTCTGTGCTGTACAAATCCAGAGCTTTTACTTTGTGGTGCCTTGTTGGTGGGACCTCTGTTCCTCCCAGGCAAGAGCACCTCATGGCCCTTCTCTGACCTTCTGCTTTGTGCCCACCAAGGACAAGGACTTTGGCAAGCAAGCACTGCGGAAAGAGCACGTCAACCCTCCTGCCGAGGTGAGCACCAGCCTGAAAACCTACCAGCACTTCACCTTGGAGAAGGCTTACCTGAGGGAGGACTTCTTCTGGGCCTTCACTCCCACTGCTGGAGACTTCATCAGATTCCGATTCTTCAAACCACTGCGTATCGAAAGGTGAGTGCTCGGGGGAGCTGAGGGGAGGCGTGGGGACAGCCTGGAGCATGTGGCAACACTTGCCTTCTGCTCTTCCAACTCATGTTAAATTTCTTGCCCCTTTCCTGCTTGGCTGCCCTGGAGGAGGGAATGGTGCTCTTCCAGAGGGAAGATAATTTGTCCCTTTTTCAGCAGGGTCATGTTTCCCAGAGCCCTTTGCTTTCCTGCGCTTGTGAGCTAATGATTTAGCTAATTGACACAGGAGGGCTCCTGTCAAACCATGTGCTGTGGGCTCTTTGGGAAGGTGCCTATTAGGTTGAGGTGTTTGAAGATTCAGCTGGGGTGAAAACCATCGTTCAGTGTGGGTTTCCATGACTCTGGTCTCTGTCACAGGTTCTTCTTCCGCAGCGGGAACATCGAGCACCCTGAAGACAAACTCTTCAACACGACCGTGGAGGTTCTGCCGTTTGATGTAAGTGTTTTGTTGAGAACTGAGGTGAGGGTGGAGTGGGAAGCAAAAGAGGTTTGAGAGCAGGAAACTGCTTACAGCCATCAGGAAAATCTTTACAAGACTCAAGTGCCTCTGAGAGGTGCTGGCTGGGAACCAGGGGGTCACGCCTGGTGCGATGCCACCTCAGGAGCAAAGTGCTGTGCTGAGCAGTCAGTGGGAGCCATCTCTGCCCACAGAGGGAATGCTCAGATGGGTGGGATGGCTACAGAGGAAAGGATGGAGCCAAGATGGTGCAGTGGAAGCAGCAGTTTGAGGACAACAAATGTCCTTGTTTTGGGGCCCGAGGCTCGGGGTGCCAGGGGCTGCTGGTGAGAGCAGCTCTGAGGTTGCTGCTGTTCTTTGGGCCTTTTGGGTGGCTCTTGCCACTGGCCTTGCACAAACCTCTTCTCCTTCTGCAGAGCCTGCAGTCGGATAAGGAAGCCTTGCAGGAGGGAAGAGGAGCAGTCAAATACCGCCGGACACCGGATGGATACATCCAGATAGGTACAGAGGGCACGGGGTGGTACAGTGCCCCCGGGTTTGGTAACACAGCCCATGGCCTCACCTGCACCTGAATCAAGGCCCTTGGTGCTGTTTGCTTGGCAAGGAGTAATTTCTGCTTACCAGGAGCCAGGTTGGAACAGGATTTAATTGTCCTTCTCTCCTGCCCTCCCTCTAGAGCAGATTGTCCTCTTCAGATGGTTTTCAGTCCTGCATTTCTGCCTGTCTCTGCTCAGAGCTGGGACCAAGTTATGCAGATTATCTGTTTGCTTATCCTGGGGTTAAAAACCCTCACCCTGGGCAGTTCTGCAGTCTCAGTACTCTCACCAGTTGCAGGTCAGACTTTGTCTCTTGCCACCTGAGCTTGTTTTAGCACTTGTCCTGCCCTTGGACAAGAACAAGTGATTGCAGCCTGTGGGGACCTGCCAGAGTGTGGTACAGTCCTGGTGGCCCTGCTAAGATGCCTTTATTTTTATTTTTTTTTAATAGACAAAAAAGGAAAAATTCCCTGTCACACGTAGCACTTTGCCAGTTTACTTTCCTTTGCATACTGACTGGTTCCTCCCAGTTGCATTTTAAAAGTTAAAAAAAAAATCATCACATCTAAAAAGAGTATCAGGTCACTCTGTCCCCTTTCACCCAGCAGCAATGTGTAGCCAAATACTCTGCATTTGTTTTGTTTAGCTGATTTTTTGTTCCCCAGTGTGGCATTTTGCACTGTGTTGCCATCCATGCTGCTGGTTCTCAGCCTGTGGTGCTGGGGAGCTGCTTGTAGTGCCCTAGGGGAGGGTGGAAGGTGGACAGGCAATGCCAGGAGTCTGTCCCCATGTCACTCTCGTGCTCTCCCCACCAGGCTCCTTCTCCAAGGGTGTTGCAGAGGGCGAGGTGGACCCATCCTTTGGGCCACTGGAGGCCATCAGACTGTCCATCCAGACTGACTCCCCAGTGTGGATCATCCTGAGCGAGGTAACTGAGCTCCCTCAGCAACTCCCACCAGCACCCCACAGCGCTCTGATCCCATCCCTCTCTTCTTTCAGATTTTTATCAAAAAAGCAGAGTGAAACAGGCATGAGGCAGAACGGACACACTCGTGGATCCCTGATCCTGCTCCCTCCCTCCTGCTCCCTCCTCCCTGCGGCGCCTTGCCCGGACCAGAAGAGCACAGGGCTGGCTGCCCGAGGCGGCACGCGCTGACAGACCTGCTGTGCCAGGCCAGCACCACCATCCCCAGCCCTGCTGCCGGGCCAGGACGTGTTGTCTTCTCCAGAGGAGGAGCAAAAAGCAAAACCCAAGCGCTGTGCAGAGGAAGGAATGGCTTTGCTCCCTCAGCCCCTCGGAGAGCCGCGCGGGACACACGGACACAGTTTGGGGTCGGGATGAGCTTTAGAGTGTGGGGACACAAAGCACCTTGAGCCCAGGACAGGACAGTCCCTGCTGTGTTTGGGGACAGAGTGGGGATGCTCATGTTGAGCCCTGCCAGCTGACCCTGCCAGCACGCTGGGATGGAGTGGCCAGGGACAGAGGTCACCTTGCCCTCACCCAGGCGAGTCCTGGCCACAGCTGAGGATTAAGTGAGGGAAAAGACTGTCCCTCCTTCAGCAGAGGAGGAACAAATCCGAAGGGGTCGGAGCTATGAGTATGGCAGGGAAAGCAAACAAATAAAATATGCCACACTGTGCCTGCCAGCATTGAACACAGCCCCTTAACTCACGGTGAAGTCTCCAGTGTCTTCATGCCTTGAGATCGAGTGCAGAAACCATCTTTTTTAAATAACTATTTCAGTTATTGATGTGAATTTTTTGGGAAAAGAAAAAAAGAAAAAAAATTGCAGAAGTAGCCCAGTTCAAAAATAGTAGGGATTAGTGTAAATCCCAATGTCCTTTCAGCTATACACTGGAATGCATTATACTACTTTAATGTGCTGTATTTTTTATTATTGGATACATTTGAGTTTTTCAAGTACATCTCTCTATATAAATATATAAAATAATGTGCACTGTAATAAAAGCTAAATTTAAATCTTTTGTGCAGCAGTGAGAGTCACCTGAGTCAGGGCTGCTTTAGTCACCTGCAAACGCTGAGTTCCCTCCCAGTAGAGGGTGAAATCCAGGGAGGACGAAAGTCCTACTGGGGGTGGGTGATAAGTGAAGTCAGGGCCAAGTCAAGGTCATTCAGTCAATGCCAAGCACAGGCTTCAGCACTTGGACTCTCTTTTCTCACAACATTTGGGTAGTTTTAGGCAAGTTTGCCCATCCTTTCCCCTTACTTTTACTCACAGCAGCTTTTCCTATGTAAACCCAGTGCCCTGTCCATGGCTGCTCTCACACCAGTCCCCAAGCACCTTTGACAATCACAGGTGATTTTTACTGAGCAAAGGAATTTATTTTTGCATATCCATGGTGTGAGCCTTCAACATAGATCATTTCAGCAGTAAGGAGGAGAGACAACAGCATGCAGGTCAATCTGTGCTCTGCAGAGCCAGACAGTGCTACAAAACTCAGCAGTGAAGCTTCTCAGCAGGGATAGAGGCTGAGCAGCGTTTGCTTTCTAGAAGGGAAATTCTCTCTGGAAAGTAAAGGAGCACACCATCTCCCTCCCTTCAGAGGGGAGCACAGAGCCGGGGAGGTACTCATCACACTGTGCCAGGTGACTCCCCTGTGTGCCCCGAGGGCAAACAGTGGGTTCTGGGAGATCTGCAGCTCACCAGGCTCTGTGTGGCTGGAGGGGCTGCACCAGTGCTGCCATCCATGTGGAGGAGTGAGGCTGCAGGAAGTGTGCCAGGAGCCCAAACAGTGCCATCCCCAGCAGCAGCCAGAGCAGCCAGGCACTGGCATACAGTGGTCCCAACCTAGGCAGGAGAAAACTGTCAGACACTGCCAGCCTGGGTGTGCTGGTGGACCTTGGCATCCCCACCCTCCTTTGAGACAGGGGCCACATCCTGCCCCCAGCCTCCCTGGGCTGGTTTGGGGTGCACAGTCCCAGCCAGGCACTTACCGTCCCTGTGCAGCCACAGCATATCCCTGGAAGTACCTGAAGCGAGTGTAGAGGTACATCAGCCCACATGCTGCAGTCACACCTGCAGGGGAGAGGGGAGTTCAATCCTGACAGGGCCAGGGGGCCCTGGAAGCTGCCAGAGCTGCAATCCAGTGCAGCACCCACAGCCCTGCTTGCCCCAGCTGATAGGGCACAGCCCCGAGAACCAAACACAGAGGGACTCAGATTTAAACCCCTGTGAGAGTTTTAATGGGTTTCTTCCTTTTTATGACAGATGAACTTCTCTATCCCCCACAGTTGCCCTGGAACTTGGGTTGGCAACACTCCCTTCCATGGTCCTTCCTCACATCTTCCCTCTGGTGGCAACTGAATCCCTTAAACCCACTTGGTACAGGATGGACAGCGGATAAGTAACTGTTTGGGTTATGATTTCTCACTCTGACATAACCAGTTTGGGTACTGAGTGGCAGCTCTGCCTCAGCTTGGTGCTACCCTGCCCCCCCAGGACAGCCCCTGGAGCAGAATGCAGATGCTCCAGCCCCTGGAGCATCAGTCACCCCCAGCAGCTTCATGGGTGCTGTAGCTGGGGCACTTCTTGGTCTGTCCAGCTAAAAAGGAACTTTTCTTTCCCCCAGTAACAGTCTCACAGGCACAAAGTGTCCGAGTCACAATGGTATTTAAATTGGTGTGGTTTTTTGTTTGCACACATGGTGTGGATTGGGGTTCTCCCACATCCCCCTTACCTTGATGGAAGAAGATTCCAGCAACCCAAAGGAGCGAAATGAAGATTGGGAAGTACTCTGAGCAGTTTGCCCTGGTAAGAAACAGAGATGAGAGTTAAAACTGTCTCCTCGTAGGTCAGAGCCTGATTAACCAAGACCAGAAAAGTGAGCTGGAAACACACCAAAGGGGCTGAGAAGAGGCATCACTGTGCTGCAGGAAAGAGACCTTTCTTGTGACCAAGCACACCCAATATCTGTATTTTAGAGAAGAAAAGCACCCAAACAATGCACAGTGTTCACCTCTTCCACATTCACGTGGACCCTGCAGTGATGAACCACCTCAGCCATGGCTCATCAAATCTCCTGGTCAGGCTCTGTCCTCATGCACAGCATCACAGGCAGCTGCTGCACCTACAGCCACTTGGGCAAAGCCTCCTTGTTATTTAAGGAGCTTTCATAGAATCAACCAGGTTGGAAAAGACCTTCAGGATCAAGTCCAACCCTACCATGGTCACTAGACCATGGCACCAAGTGCCACATCCAGTCTCACCTTACAAACCTCCAGGGATGGTGAATCCACCACCTCCCTGGGCAGCACATTCCAATGCCTGATCATTGTCTCTGTAAAAAATCTCTTCCTAATATCTAACCTCCAGGCTGAACACCCCCAGCTCCCTCAGCCTCTCCTCATGGCACTTGTGCTCCAGTCCCTTCACCAGCCTCGTTGCTCTTCTCTGGACCTGCTCCAGCACCTCAATGTCCCTCCTGAACCTTCTTTCCCCCTTGGGTGATCACAGCCCAAATTTGTGTGTCACACAAGTCACACCTTCTCCCAGATCCAATTCAGCAGAAGGTGATCAGATCTGCAGTCAGGTTTTCTGCTTCCTTTACTCTTTAGAGACAAAAACACAGATTTTCTGCAAGAAAGGACAGTGGGAACTGTGCTATTAAAGACATCAGGTTTGTTTCTCAATTTCTCCTACGTTTTACCATTCCCTAGGCAATTAATCTTAATTTTGGCCAAAAATTTACCAACCTTTGGGAAATGGAGCCAGACTGGGAGCTGACAAAATTCTGAGGAACGTTATGCTGCAAGAGCAGTTTGAGCCTCACTGGGGGAGGCTGCCAGGTGGCCTCAAGTGAGTAATACATAAATACTTTTTTCCCCATCTTTATTTTTTGAATATATCAATTTATCCATTTTTTGTCCTATTCGACAGGGAAAAGAGAGGGGAAAAAACCCCACAAAGCAGCAATACCTTCTCAAGTCTGAGTTCCCTGAGGTCAGCCTCTCTGCAGATTATAGCAGAGCTCTGCACACCACAGCCCATGGCACTGCTGGGCTAAGACACATTTAACACAGAGTGTTTAATTAACAGCCACATCAGCCTCTCCCCAGCTGGCAGAGGGTGCAGATTGGCCTTGCATGGCACCACACAAGGACCGAAGAGGGTGTTTTTGTCACTCCACAAATGTTTCCTGCACTCTGGCATGGGAACTCAGCTGCTTTGTCTGGGATTTAGTGCTGTGCTGGAACTGCCCTTCAAACCAGCTCCAGCCAATTCCTTTCAGTTGCTTACAAAACACGACGACTGAGATGAAAGGGGGAATCTGGTGCTTGCTGGAAGCTGAAGGGATCTGTGAAAGTTTCCAGTTTAGCTCCAGCATTGCTCTCTCCATAGGAACAGAGCAAAAAGGAACAGCCCTCAGCGTGGGCCCACGAGTGCCCACTCACCCCCCAATGCCTTCTGAAAGGGGAAATTAAAAGGCTCTTGTAGCTGGTTTTGCCAGCAAGGCCTTTTGCTTCAGTGCAGCAGCAAAAACTTGCAAGCAAATATCAGGATATTAATATAGCTTCAGCTGCTCTCACAGTTTGGAGCCAATGGTAATACTAAGTTTAATAATTCTAATCTTTAATGCTCTGCACCTCTTCTGTACAGCCACTAATTTGTGATTTGGCAGCCTCACAATGCCAGGAGGAGGAAAACCATGGATGGACAGAAACACTCCAGCCACAGCAAACAGCTCCAAATACAACTCAGAGCTCAGCACGCAAAGCATTGAAACAAAAAAAAAAAATCTAATATCAGTAGCAATTAGTGAAAAGGTGATTTGAGGGTGACCAATCTTTCCCAGCAGTGACAGTCAACTCAACTCATATCTAGCAAAGCCACCACAAAAAAAAAAGTCAAATTCTTACTGAGCTCTGAAGATCCTCTCAAACTCAGGGTGACCTCTTGTCTCAGGAGGGGAGATCTTGTGCTTCCGTCGGGCATAGATCACCTGCAGCACGAAATAGGCTAAAAAAAGAACAACACAGGAGTGAGAAGTGTTTGTTTAGCCAAGCTTTATCTAGCTTGGAATCAAGAGAGTGGTTAGAACAAAGGAGCCTACATGGCCTAGGTCCATAGTCCAGGGCTGTCACACATGACCTGCAATGAATGTGCTGTTTATTCCATGCTCATATTTTAAACCCAGGCCTGGGTACCTTGGCAGAGTATCTGTGTGTTTGGCTGCTGCTTGGCCTCTCCTCACACCCAGCACAGTCCTCAGTGCTGCTCCCCAGCAGATCAAACACACCAGGTCCTGCAACAGTCAGCAGAACCTTACCAAGGTCCACACGGAATTACAGAATCATTTCTTAATCTTGCACTCCATGTTTAGAGCATTCCTACACCCTCGGCCAGTCTGATGGGAATGGTGTGGAATAATT